TCTCAGCTTCCCGGAAGCATACAGTGCAAGCAGCCGATTAAGCGCTCAAACACTAACAAACTGACAAGATCTTTCGCTGTCTATAGCCAGGTACCCATTCCCACCAGGGTGAAGTGAGGAAAATTCGTGTAAAGTGCCTTTCCCAAGGACACAACGTCGGGTCCCTGACGGGATTCGAACCCACGACCTTACGGTTGCGAGTCCGAGAGCCTAAGCATCAGCATGAGTGGTTGGCGCGTGGTCTGTTTGTGGTTTGCTTCTTCTTTCCTATCAAACATCTATCGTCCTTACTTGTTCTTTTTTGTGTATGTTACTCTCTTGTAAAACATTTATTCTTCGGCACTTTTATAACCTTATTGTGTTGCTAGTGCTGTAAAGTTCTTACTAAAACTAAGACGTGGGCGCTGGTAAACGAGTGACCCCTGTTGTCCTCTCCCTGTCCCTCCCTCAGGTGACCTTGACCGTGCCGCAGAAGGTCGTCCAGGTGGAAGAGGAACTGAGGAAAGTGAAGACGCTGAACGAAGGTCTGGACGATCTGCAGAACTGGGTGGACAGCACCAAGGTCGTTCTTGCCACTCAGGCCTCGCCGGTGAAATCTTTGACCGAGGTGGACGGCAACGACAGCGTCATCATTGACAGACAGGTGAGAAATGTCATAGACAGGTGAACATATCGTAGACAGACAGGTGAGACATTTACAGACAGAGCGGTGAGAATATCATAGACAGACAGGTGAGAATGTCATAGTCAGGTGAGACATTCATAGACAGACAGGTGAGAATATCATAGACAGACAGGTGAGAATATCATAGACAGACAGGTGAGAATGTTATAGAGAATGTCATAGTCAGGTGAGACATTCATAGACAAACAGGTGAGACAGTCATCGACAGACAGGTGAGAATGTCATAGATAGACAGATGAATGGATAGATAGACTGTTGGATAGGTTAAATAGATAGATAGATAGACTGTTAGATAGGTTAGATAGATAGATAGACTGTTAGATAGGTTAGATAGACAGATAAATGGATAGATAGACTGTTAGATAGGTTAGATAGATAGATAGACTGTTAGATAGGTTAGATAGATAGATAACCAGATGAATAAGGAGATTGATAGATCGATAGATAAGCAAATAGGTAGACAGAGGAATGTTGATGTGATATTTCTGTGTTTCCCTCAGTGATAGAAAGATGGATTGATAGATAGACAGATAGATAGATAGACAGACAGTGATAGATAGATATATAGATAGATAGATAGATAGATAGATAGATAGATAGATAGATAGATAGATAGATGGATGGATGAACAAATAGATAGATGAACAAATAGATAGATGGATGGATGAACAAATAGATCGATACACTGATGTTTTATTTCTGTTGTTCCCTCAGTGATAGATAGATGGACGGATGAACAAATAGATAGATGGACGGATGAACAAATAGATCGATACCCTGATGTTTTATTTCTGTTGTTCCCTCAGTGATAGATAGATGGATACATGGATGGATAGATGGATGGATGAACAAATGGAAGTA